CCTACATATTCTGGTTATCAATCCCTTGTCTGAGGCATAATTTGAAAGTGCCTCTTATTCTGACAGTTGTCTCTTCACTCCAGTTGTTGTTTCCTTTGCTGTGCAGAAGCCTTTTAGCTTGGTATAATTTCTCCAGTCTACTTTTGGGAATTACTGCCTGTATTTTAGGAGTCTTATTTAAGAAAGTTTTGCCTACTTCAAGGTCGTCCCAGAGTTTTCTTAAGTTTTCTATTAGTAGTTACATAGTCCTAGTAACATAGTTTGATCCATATTGAGTTGATTATTGTTTGTGGTGGGAGATAGCAGTCCAGCATAGTTTTTCTGCAGGTGGATACCCAGTTCCTCCAGCACCAATCACCTACACACTTTTCTTTTCTCCACTGCATTGTCTTGTGCCCTTACTCAAAGATCAGTTGGCCTTATATTCTGAGGTGATTTCTCGATTCTCTATTCTGTTCCATTGACTTATGTGTCTATTTTTGTGCCAGTACCATGCTGTTTTGACTACCACTACTTTGTAACATTATTTGAAGTTAGGTAGAGATATTCCTCCTACTTTATTCTTTTTGTACAGTATTACCTTAGTAATACAGGGTCTTTTGTGATTTCAAACAAATTTTGATTTTTTAAAAATGTCACCAGCAATAGGATTGTAATAACATTGAATATGTGAATTAATTGTGTAAAACTGCCATTTCAATTACATTGATTCTTCCTTTCCAATGACAGATATCTTTTCTTTGTTTCTTAAAATCACATTCAATTTATTTTTTCAGTTTTTTATAGTAGTTTTTGTAGAGGTCTTTCACTTCTTTGATTAAGTTTATGTCTAGGTATCTTATTTGTCTTGTGACTATTGAAAATGGAATTTCTTTCTTCAATTCTGTCTCAATCTGTTCATTGCTGATGTATAAAAATACTATAGATTTTTGTATAGTGATTTTTGTACCTCATACTTTACTGAGTTCATTTATCACTTCTAGGAGTTTTCCCATGGATTCCTATGGATTTGCTATTTATATACTCATATCATCTGTGAAAAGGGACAGTTTAACTTCTTTTTTCCTAGCCAAATGCCTTATATTTTGCTCTCTTGTCTGATTGCATCGGTTAGAAGTTCCAGGACTATTGTCGAAAAGGAGTAAAGAAAGCAGGCAGCCTGTCTCATTCAAGTTTTTAGTAGAAAGGGATTCAGCTTTTCTCCATTCAGGGTGATATTGGTAGTGGGTCTGCCATATATGGTTTTAAATGTGTTGAGAAATGTCTCTCCTGTACCTATTTTGCTGGGAGTCTTGATTAGGAAGTGCTGCATTTTATCAAATGCTTTTTCTTCATCTATTGTATGATCAGATAGTTTCTATCTTTTCTTCTGTAAGTGTGATGTATTACATTTATTGTTTTGCATGTTGACCTATCCTTGCATTCTTTGGATAAAACCTACCTGGTTGAGATGTATGATCTTCTTAAATTGATGCTGGATTTGGTTTAGTAGTATCTTGTTGAGGATTTTTGTCTCAATATTCATCAGAGATATTGGTCTGTCATTTTCTCTTTCTTTCTTTTTTTGTTACCTTTGTCTGCTTTTGGTATCATGTTGATGGGAGCTTCATAAATGAGATTGGGAGAGTTCTTTCTTATTGGACCTTTAGAAAGACTTTGAGGAGAATTTGGGTTAGCTCTTCTTTAAAATTATTGTATAATTCAGAAGTAAAGTTATAAGGACTTGGGCTTTTCTTAACTGGGAGACTATTTATTACTGTCGATTTTATTGTTTATTCAGGCTTTCTATTACATCCTGGTCCAGCCTAGGTAACTTGTGCCTGTCCAGAAATTTGTCCATCTCACCTCAGTGCTATAGTTTGTTAGCATATGGTCACTTGTAGTATTGTCCTATAATTTTTTCTTTTTCTGATATAGCAGTTGTAATATTACCAGGTGGGTTACTGATTTTATCGATCTGGTTTTTTCCTCTTTTTTCTCAAATTAATTGAGTTAATAGTTTTTAAATTTCTTATCCTCTCAAATAACCAGCTTTTGTTTCATTTTCATTTTTTAAAAAATAATTCTTTCAGGGCAGGCAGGTGGCGTGTGGTTAAGGGCACTGGACTCTCACATGGCCAACTTCTGTTAGAGTCCTGGACCTGGCAGCTTGCTTTCTCAACTCTCTCTCTCTCTCACTTTATTCCTCTCTGGTCAAGCTAAAATACAACAATAAAGTTAAATAAAAAGAATTCTTTTAAAAGTAATAATAATTTTCATTCTCTTTTTTGCTTATTTCAGCTTTAATCTCTACTATTTCTTCTTTTATTTATGGATTTTTATTGTTGTTGCTTTTCAAGTTCCTTGAGATGTGATGATGAGTTATTTATTTGCTGCCTACTATTTTTTTTCTTGCGAGCACTAATTGCTATGTATTTCCCTCTTATGATGGCATTCAATGTTTCTCAAAGGTTATGGAGAGTGTTGTGTTCATTATGCTTGGTTTCTATATATCATTTAATTTCAGTCTTAATTTCTTTAGTAGTTTAGAAGTCATTGACGAGTAATATGTTTAGGTTCCATGTTTTTGTGTATGTTCAAGGCTCTTTCTGTGGTCGATTTCAAGTTTAATTTTATTTTGATCTGAAAATATGATATATACGGTTTCTATACTTTTTAAATTTGGTGGCTTTTTTTCCCACCATATCAATCTTTTGTCAATATTTGGAATGATTCCATGAGAAAAACAGTATTTTCTAATTGCTGAATGAAATGCAGTATATGTGTCTGTCAGGTCTATTTGGATTATGGTATCAATTAGTTCCTATGTGTCTTTATTTTTTGTCTAGATGACCTGTCCAGTAGTTACAATGGGTGAAATCCCTACAATTAGTGTGTTGTATGCTGCAGTTTTTATCACTCTTTAGATCTAGCAGTATTTTTTTTCTTTATTTCTGTTTTCATGAAATAACATTTTTCCAGCCCTTTCCTTTAAATCTGTGTATGCCTTTGACCATGAAGTATGTTTCTAGTAAGCAACATATACCAAGTTTCTATTATATTAATACATTGAGCTGTGTCTTCTATAGGAAATTTAATATATTAACACAATGTTATTATAAGTATGTGCTGATTTATTCCTGTCATTTTGTCATTCTTTTTAGGAAAAACTGTTCACATATCTAAGAATATAGATAAATACAGAATTACAACTTATAAACCTGGGTCTAGGTTAGCATTTTGCCTGATTTCCGGGGTGTAACAAGTCGATACTACTGAGGAGAAGGAAAAGGATGGCTGCCCCAGAAATGAGAGGCAGGGAGATGTTACCAGGCCTGTACTCACGGATGTTAGCTGGAACCTTCAGAATGTTTATATTGCTCAGCAGTTATAATAACGTGCCAGACTTGTCTCCATCCTTTCTTTAATATTAAGCATGTAGATATGGTTTACTACCTGTTGGTGAGTATTGATGATGACGTGCACAGTATTCTCAACTGGGCTGATCCGAGATCATGCTGGGTAAAGTCTCTTTACAATTTAAATGATGTATAGCAATTTAATGTATAAATAATAATAATAATTTTTTTAAAAAAGATTAAGCATGCTGGTCCCAATGAGATAAACATTGTCTAGTAACCTGGAGAGCTTTGAAATCATGATTTATTTATTTATTTTGGAGAGGTTTTTGCTATAGGGTGCATGTGCTCACAAGAAAGACAGAGAGAGAGAAACAGAAAGTGAGAAATCACCCCCCAAGGGGATGGCCACACTGCAATCTCTCCTCCTCCATTCTCCTCTTGGGATCTTGGGCTCACATGCACCTGGGCCTGGCATGAGTTTAAGCTACCAGGTCCGGGACTTGAACTGAAGTTGACTACATGGAAGTCCAGTGACAAAGCTATTACACTAACTGCTGGTCACTCAAATCATATTGTTGTTTTTTTTATTTTTTCCTTTTTTTTTTTTAAATTTTGTTTTGTTTTGGAGAGGTTTTCGCTATAGGGCGCGTGCGCTTGCCAGACAGACAGAGAGAGACATAGAGACAGAAAGCGAGAAATCACTCCCCAGAGGGGATGGTCACACCACAATCCCTTCTCCTCCATTCTCCTCTCGGGATCTTGGGCACGCACGCACACGTGCCCAGAGTGAGCTTTAAGTCACTAGGTCTGGGACGTGAACCGCAGTCGACTACGTGGGAGTCCAGGGACATAGCCATTATGCTAACTGCTGGTTCCCTCAAATCATGTTTTAAAGAAATAAAGCCTATCTGTTGTTAGTCTAATTTTGAGTACCAGAAGATGCAGCAGTGATCATTGGGTTAACATATTAAAGATTACTCCTTTTTGTGGGTAGGATGTTTTAAATATGTATAACATTTTTATTAAATTTACCTAAATCTGGGCAAGCAAATGGGGTAGTGGTTAAGGCAATGAACTTCCACATGGTCAAACCTAGTTCGAGTCCCAAACCCTGTGGCTTGAAACTCGTGCCGGAAACGTGTGTTTGTGCCCAATGTCACAGGGGGAGAATAGAGAAGAAGGGATGGTAGCATGACCGTGCCCCCTGGGGGGTGATTTCTCATTTTCTCTTTCACTGTCTTTCTCTGATAAGTGCATGTGTCCTAGGGCAAAAATCTCTAAAAAAAAAAAAAAAAGGAAATTTACGTAAATCTATTTTAATCTACTAAATTTTTGCCAATATAAGCAAAATTGTGAAAGAAATCGACACAAATAAACATTATTATGCATATACTGAATAATGACATAAAATATAGCCATGTAACATAGTGTTTCTTAAAATATTAGAGACTATGATGTTGGGGTAATCTGAATAAAAATATTCATTTATTTTCACACTGTGGCACATCTTGAAACCAGCTAAATGCAGTGCCAGAACTCACGCCTCCCCCTGGCCTAAGGCCAACCTGCGTCATTAGTGACTCGCCCTCTGCTGTCCGAGCCTCGTGAATGGTCCCAGGTGAACACAGCAAGCAGACTCCCTGCGCAGGGAAACAGGCGGGAGGTGCTGCCTGCTGCTCTCCGTGGAGCCTCTACAACGCCACGCGTAGGGCCGAGTGAGCGGTACACACGTGTCCCCCGGAGGACCCGGGAAGCTACTCAGAACAGGGACGTTGCTCACGCGGTGCCTGCAGAAGCGCTGCTCCACCTACGGCCGAAGTCTGCGCCCACTCGGAGATAATGAAAGGTACTAGTCCCAGTTGTAGCTGTTTCCCACGACCACATGGGGGATGAGCTCTGATGAGAGTTTTGGGGAACTTTGTTTCAGAAACAGATTTGTGTGGAGTCCCTGGACAAGGGGTCCGACACGGACAGGGGCGTCGGCGGAGGTGCAGGCGAGGACAGCGGCCGGGCTCGGCATGAAGGGAACGAGGCCAGTGCGGAATTCGGGGCGCCCACGCTGGAGCGCGCTTCTGTGGGCCCACGGGAAACTCGAACTTGAGTCACCCTGACACAGGCCATGCTCACAGCGAGGGCCACGGAGGCCGACGTTTTCTAGACCCGGGTTGAGTTTTTGTTGTTCTGTTATTTTTTTCTTTCCTTTGTTTTGCTTTGCCATGAGTGATGGTAATCTTGGTGCTGTGTCATGTGTGCTGTTTTACCTTCTGTGTCCTGTGCGTCTAGCAGGTGTCATCTCAGACAGAGATGACAGGCTCTTTCTGTTCTACTTTTAAAGTGTAGTCTCAGAGACTCAAATTTACCTACAGAGTTCACCTTTCCCTAAGTGTAAGAGCTAGAATAAGATCTAGGTTCAAACCTACCCTGACTATCTGCAGTGAACTGGTATGATGAAGCAGAATAAGCCCACCCTCATTTCAAAACAAATGGGAATAAAATCTGTGCTTTAATAAATGTCTTAATGTGGACTCCAGAGCACACTGCTTTGTTCCCAGCTCTGTCACTGGGCCACACCATAAGACAGAACTCTGATCAGTTGCTCATCTTTATGACAATTAGCCTGTATTTGAAAAAACCTGTATCTCCTCTGAATATGTGAATTGCTAAAATACTTTTTCGATACCGAATCTTCTAGAATTATTTATTAAATTTTGTTTATTGTTGTTATTATTTCTTAATTTGACCAGAGAGCGAGAGCAAAGGAAAGCGAGAAAGCAAGCCACCAGGTCCGGAACTTGAGCCACAGTCGGCCATGTGAGAGTCCCGTGCCTTAACCACAGCACCTCCTGCCTGCCCCTCATTATCTAATTTTCTACTCTTACACCGAAACGAAATGTGTGGGCAGGGAAGCAATGCATTTTGACTTCAACAAATAAGATAAATTGATAATTTCTTGTGAAACTTGGTTAATATTTGGGGAGTTTGCTCATTGTGCACAATATGTATGTTTTCGCTTTTATTTACACAGAAGATTCTATGAACATGCCTTTGCAAGCAAAGGGACACGTCTATACTAGGGACATGATGCAAGAGATGTTCACGCATCCTCTCCTTTTTACGTAGGACTCAGTACAGATTCAAGGATTGTTTCTTTTATTATGAAACAATCAAGTTTTTTTCTGCTTTCTTCTGTGTATAATGTCATTAATGCTGATGCAAAGATTAAAGGATTCTTACTAGAATTTGAAAAAGGCAGCAGGGGGCAGCAAGTGGTTTTGCAGTTAAGGCACTGGACTCCCATATGGCTGACCACAGTACGAGTCCTAGACCTAGCAGCTTGATAATCATGCCAGACACATGTGTGTGCACACTCAAAATTCCAAGAGAATAATGGAGAAGGTATTATACCATGGTCTTCCCCTCAGGGGGGTGATTTTTCAGTTTGTCTCTCTGTATATCCAGTAAGCACATGCACCCTATAGCAAAGAAAAAAATCAACAACAAAAACTCTCTCCAAATAAGTTATTTCTAGCCATTTCATTAGATGGCTAGAATAAAAGGGGCAAAAATAATTTATTTAAATTTATGGTTCAGAAGAAAAGAAATCATCTTCACATTAGTCAAATAGCTATATGGGTGCCAACTGGTGCCATGTGGTTAAAGTGGCTGAATGCCATGAGGCTATGTGTTTCAAATCTTGGACATGTGAAAAGTGGACCTCGTGTGTGTCTGTGAGCACACACATGCCTGCCCAGACTCCCAGAGGGAGGGCAAAATGGAGGGATTGTGGTGGGACCACCCCCAATAGGGAGAGATTTCCCCCCCCCTCTCTCCCCCTCTCTCCCTCCCTCTCTGTTTCTTTTTGGTAAACACACTTGCCGTTGAGCAACAGCTGAGGCTGGCTGCTGTGTCTGGCTCAGGGTTGCATTTCTAGTTAATCTCACATCAAGGATAGGGCATTAGACTATCAGAACAGCAGAATGTGGACTGTCACAGAGTGACAGCGTTGCCAATTATGGGAGACACGTTGAAATCTGGAACACATGCACGATATATTGCTCCTTTTTATTTTTTAAATTAAAAACCATCTATTATTATTATTATTTCACATTATTCACTGTACATCATTACAGCACACCAAATGAATTGACCCATCATGGATACACTGCATATAGGTCCAGTCAAAGACATCACCATATACATCATAATCAACAGAATTCTTTCCATTTTGGGTCCTGTAAATGTTTTGCTTCTTTATTCTTCCCCTTGATTCCCTCCCTCTCACCCTCTCCATTTCCTGTTCTCCTCCCCCACTGTCTCCAGTACCCACAGTGCCCAGCACTCTTCATGCTTTTATATCTTCCAATCTTTTCTGCCATAGAATGCAGACATTCAGTATATATTGAATGGGGACATACAGTGCCTCTCTTTCATAGTTTGGATTGCTTAACTCTGTAGTATATCTTCCATATTTGCCCTGTGATCTTTATCTCATATTTACATTAAGATAATATTCTCCATATCATGTAAAGTTTGCCAGAAGGAGCCCTATATAAACTACAAAACCAGACATGATCATAAATTTCTCTGCACTAGTAACTGCAAGCATTACACTTTCTACTTGACAACGAGTAAAATACTAATATAAATGATGGACTTCACCATCTGTGCAACATGTTGGTCTCTTTATGGTTCAAATGGCATTTATGAAGTTATTTGCTCTCTCAACTTTTCCTTCAAGATTATCAGAGGCCAAATAATAACAGGTCCTTGAAAACTCAGAACCCTGTGGAGAAACTTCCTAAAATATATTTGGAAATCTACGTATGTGATCATTTCTGTTTTCTTTTAAAATATATTTTAGCATTTTCTGTAGGGTATGCACATGTTAGATAAAATGTACCGCCGTATGCATTTTTAAGAGCACAGTGGTGTGGCGTCAAGGACACCCACTTCACTGTGTAACTCAGCACCGTCACCTCCTTAACCTCACCACCCCTGATTGAAATTGCACACTCACTCCCCAGCTCCCTCCTGCTCCCTCTGGCCTTTGGCAACCTCTGGTCTGGGTCTGTCCCTAAGGATTAGACTATCCAGGCATCCCTGTAACGAAACTCATGTGCTACTGGTTTTCAGTGACTGGCCCGTTTCCCGATGCATGATCCCCTTAATGTCCATTCACATGGCAGCAAGTGCCAATCTTCTTTCCTTTTTAAAATGGATTGTGATTTCATTGCATGTACACACCACATTGCGTTCACTGGTTCGCCTGGGGGTGGGTACTCAGGTCGTTTCTGCCTTTTCCCTATTGTCAATAATGCCACTGTGAATGTGATCTTGCAATCATCTGTTTAAGTGTTCGCTTTTATTTTTTGTTTCTTAAGTTTATTTCCTTCATGAGAGAGAGTCGTAGATGCAAGCTCCTTTGACAGGGTAGTCACACCACGTGTTCCCCACCCCACTAGTCCCGAGGTCAGAGGCAGACATCTGGCGTGGCCAGACCTGCCTGTTCATGAAGACGCTGGGGAACCTGGAGCTTTCCTGCACAGCCACGGCTTCACTCAGTGGCCACTGTGGGCGGCTTTTATTTCTTTGGGGTACAAACCCAGAAGTGCAATTTGCTGCATCTCATAATAATTCTATGCTTAAGTTTTTTTTTATCATCATATCTTCTTCATATTACATTGGATTACATATAACTTTACAGTGTATTACATTGTTTCTTCAAAAGGGAATGCCATGCACGTCAGTCAGTACAGAGACATTAATCTCCCCACTTCAACATTCCATATCTTTTCTGTTTTCCCCAATCATTATCTTTATTATTCTAATTATTTTTATAAAACAGTCAATTGCTATTTCTCGTTTTGCTTGTAAAAATACTTTGCCCGTCATGAAACACTTCTCAGACCAATCCAGTTGAGAATTCTATACATGTCATCATCAACAGTTATTAAGCCCTATCTGTTTCTCACTGACGTCCTGTCTCTCTATTGCTCACTTGCTATCTTTCTCTATCCTCTTCTCTTCACTTACCCCATTCCACACTGTCCTATTCTCATTAAGTACCTTCACTTCAAGAATGGTAGAGTAGTTCCTGTTCTTCCCTGAGGCAATGCAGGGCAGGTAACCATCATCTTCTCAAGTTGCAAGTTCTCAGACCTTGTTTTCCGCTTCAGCTTGCTGGTCCAAAGGCCACACGCTGGCCCTGGAGAGGCAGCTGAACGCTGGGGCATGAGCCCCGAGCCGCGGGCCCCCGGAGGGGGCCGGCCGATCGGTGGCGCAGCTGCACAACGGGGCGTGAGCCCCCGGGGCCGTCGTCTGGCTATGCTTAAGTTTTTGAAGAGCCACCAAGACTTTTCCTACAGTGGTCGTGCCTTTCACAACTACCAGCAACACTACACAGGCCTGCAATTTCCCCTAATGCTTGTCAGACATTAACTCCTACTTTTTGTTTGCTTTTCCTAATAAATTTCAAACAGCATTTCATTGTGGTTTTGAATTGCATTTCCCTAATGATTACTAATGCTGAACATCTTTTATGTGCTTATCAATTTGGATACATTCTTTGGGAAATTCTTTTTTAATCATTTTTTCATATTTAAGTGTTTTTCTTGTTAAGTTGTAGTTTTATATATTCTGGATATATAAACACTTATCACATAAGTGATGGCAGCGATTATTCCACCCTGCTTTTCCACTTTCCTGATAGTGTACTTTGATGCACAAAAGGCTCTAATTTGGTGAAATACAACTTCGCTTTTCTCATGCTGCTTGTGTTTGGGTCTCATATCCAAGGAATCACTGCCAAATTCGCTTCCATGAAGATTTCCCAGGCTTTCTCCCAGT